GGCTAGTCAGGCATGCCGCCCATCGTGATGAAGAGTGATGGTATCGAGGGTTTAGAGTGTGACTAAGGATCCTTTTTTTATGAACTCAAATCATTCTCAAGAGCTGCAAAGCTGTAAGAAAATGAAGGTGACATAGAATTGATATCAGAAGGATATGAAGAAGGGTTAGAAGTCGACGGTTTGGAAAGTGATTTGGGATCAAAAGGAACTTGTGTACTGACAGAAGTATAAAGGCGATTAATTAATAATCAATTGCTCACATCATGAACGGTGGCTGAAAAAGAAAGTGGATTGTTAAGAGTGGTCTTCTTGATCCAGGAAGATAACTGCAGAATCCATGGGATAAGTGCTTGGGGTTGGCCATCTATGATTTTTTTCAGATTTTGAGATGAATGAGGAGCGTGCATTCAGGAAAAATTACTGGTGGCAACGAAACCGGTGGGGCATAAAAGAGTACCTTTTGGTGCTAACCTTTAATGACCACTTTTTAACATAGAAGAATGCAGCATCAACTTAGAATGCTGGTTTTCCTCGGGGGACACTTCAGTGCTATCACACTTTGTACAGCCAGCAATATGACTTCCCTTTGGGACTCCTAGCATAGCTTAATTTATTTACGTTACGACAGCAGCTGCTCCTCGTCATACACTTATCCAGCTTACCTTTTTGTTATGATAGGGCTATGGGGATCAACATTTTCAACCAGTTAACTTAGTCACTATATCCAGGTAACAGCTGTCAGTCAGATTCTCAGTGCCATTGCCATAGTGGGTTTAGTTTGCTTCAATTTTAGAAACCCATAAGGAAATCTTTTGTTATCAGTAGGTCTGGAGGAAGTAATTAGACAACACTTATGATTTCCATCACATTTTTTCGCTGCATTTGCAAGAAGCTGGACTCCTTCATCATTGTCTTAGGTAATGTTGTACACCGTCAATTACCAAATAAGTTTATCGAGTATACCTAATATTCAGTTAGGAGCTCCGTGGAATTTGATTGACTTTGAAGTAGTTTTGACCGTAGGTTAACGGCAGCCAGAGAACCACTAAAGATGTATGATCACTGGAAATTTGTTTCGCCGTGATTTGCCACTCCTCAGCGGCGTGCATCCATAATTATGTGAGGAGACCGAACCGAAGTCTACCAGATCCCATGGTTATTACTAATTAACTGGGTAAGAGTTCAATGATCCACTACTTTCAAATTCTGTTGGTTCGGAACGTAGCGCCACTACCATCTAATGTAATCAGTAGGAATCCATCCTCGTTTCTGACTGAGTTGACACTGCAGGTCACGGCTTCTCATTAGAACTTCGGGAAATCCATTTCAAGGTAATTCCCTAGTGAGCGCTAGTAATGTGAATATTACTATTAGATGAAGCATCTTACTGCCTCTTAGCGATTCTCCTATATAACCACATAGGTGTTCATAAATGAAGCATAGTCCTAGGTTCCTGTCGGTTGTTTGTTTAATAAGTGGCGTATTCTGAAGTTACTTCTTGAATCCATTGTTACCTTCGCTCGTCGTTACGTTTCGAATGTCTTTTTTTAGCGCATGCATCTTTCACGGGGAGGTTTTGGCTCAACGATTTTCACACTGAAATCTAATTCAGCTGATTTCAAACTTGGACCTCGTTTTACTACCAAAGGTTTTTTGTAAATGAAAGCATTTATATGTGTAATAAATTGTGATTAAAACCTTGAAATGAATATAGATAATAGTGTTTGAAATGTTTTCCAGTAAATAGTACTTTCGCTCTGTGACACACCTAACAAATTAAAACACACTAGAATAAAACCAAAACTGTCACCTATTAAAAAATCTAATATTGAGTGACGATAACCCCATAGTTTACGATGGCTCGGTGGTTCAGGGAGATGACTATCAGCTAGAGGGTCGCGCGTTCGAACCCCGCTCCACCTGCTGACGTTTAGGCAGCCTGGTAGTATCGCTAGTCTTCACACAGGTGTGGCTCATATCCTACTGCTTGGATGTGCAGGTCTCTGAGTGCGTTTCGTTTACTGACAAGCTAGTGTATGAATGTTCATATGGCTAGTGAATAGCATTTCTTGCATATACTAGAAGTAGCAGTCATTACTTCTTTGACAAACTAGTCACTGCCTCCACAAAGGTCATCGCTTAACTATTGCATGAGTTTCTATTGAATTTTGTTTTTTACAGTATACATTAATTATTATTACTTTTTTCTTTTGGTTTGAAATCTGAACGAATTTCGGGTTTATCTCTATAATATTGTGAATACTGAATGATGATAATGCTACTGAGTCTACTACATGTTTATGTACTAGGGTATGAACCACACTGGTATTGTTAGGGCTTATAATATCATCCGACCACCTATACAGAGTTAACTGAAGTGGGATTTGATTCCGTAACGTCAAATGCCTAAGTTGATAGACCAAACATTTTCCACTAAAAACACCTTAATTATATTTTCAGAACGAATAAATCTGTATATGTTCTAGTCGTGTTTGAAAGTGTATCGAAGTATGGTTTAACAGGCGGAAACATCTTTTATATTCACTTTATATAAGGTGGTTCAAAATAATTTATTGTTTACTTCTGGAGTGGACTTATCGTCAATTCATGGCACGAATAGCCAACTGCAAACCATTATATAAAAAAAACAGAATTTATCAGTTGTATCTATCGTTAAATAGGAGCGCTGCAAAAATATATTGATTTGACATTGAGTTGCTATCGCCAAAAGTATTCGTCAGTGAAATAGGATATTACAGTTTCTGTTCCATTTGATTATCTCGAAGGTAATGCTTTCTGCTTCCAACTTTCAGGCTTAGATGACCTTAGATATCATTTGAAAAGTCTGGAGAATATGGTTTTTGGAGTGTGACAACCTGATAATGTCAACATTATGAGTATAAAAAGTGTAAAGTCACACTTGTGGATTAGTCTTCACATGTCTAGAGTGACGATTAACTAAACACAAATCAACTGCAGTACAGGTTTATGCACTAGGTTATGAGGCACACTTATTGTGTTAGGGCTTATGAAGCTGCCTAGCTGTGCAAGCCAAAGTAAGTGGGTGGAGTTCGAACCCGAGACCCTTTGTTTAAGATTCGTATGTTTAAGCCAACGACGAGGTGCATTAAATGAGAGAATCAACAGTTTCACTCGTTTTACTTGTACTGACCTTCATTAGCTGGCTGCTAACATGATCATATAACGTATGCTGATAACTTGGTTGATATATTCAAACTGAAGTTTACAAATATTGAAGTGTTTTTTCCAAGTGGATGGACGGGAAATGCTTTAGACCTTTAAACAGTAACAACTTTGCAGTTTCACTCACTTGTGGGTGATATTCATGTAATGTTGTAGGTAACGCATTGGTGATGTAAACTTATATCTAAACTTGTTTAAGGCATTCTGAATAGACATGATAATGCTTACACAATTACTGCCGAATTTATTGATGTTAGATGAAGATTATCTGAACTGGACGAAATCATAGCAACTCATAGGCGTTTTACAGGAAGTAATCAATGTCGCTACTCAGTCCTTAGATTTTTTTGAAATTTATCTACTTGATACATTCATCATCATCAATATCAACATAGGACCAGGCATTACTGCGTAGTGGTTCGAGTTGCCACAGCTAATATCAGTGCATCAAGTAGAAAGGTAGTTAGGTGAAAGATGAAGATAAGAAAATTCAGTCAAAAGAAGTATAAGGTGCGAGAAGAAAGAAAAAAAGAATGACAAAATGGTGAGGATCGGTAGTGTTAAAATGAGGATAATATGTGTATACATCTGCACCACTGACATCGGTTCTGAGCCATATCCCTTAGAGTCTCCATCCACTGGTTCCTCTTGTCCCGCGGACCCCAACCAGCTAGTCTGCATCGCCCCACATGGCTCAAACCAACAGTCAGAGACTTCATACGTTGGTGCCATGTTTTAGTCTGGCCACCTCGGGCCTTTTTCCAGCCTGTACCTACTTCGGCCAACATTGTGTGACGAGGCAATCGGCGACTAGGGGTACGTGATACGTGTCCCAACCATCTCAGTTGATGAGGGTTCACAACTGTATCAATTGACTTATCTCTCCTCCCTGAAACTCTATACCTGACTTGTGCATTACTCACGTGGTGACACCACGGAATACGGCCTATACTACGAAGGCAACAGTGGTCAAACACTTGAAGCCTTCTCATGTCTTCCACCTTGAATGGCCATGTTTCACAGCCATAGGATAGAACAGAGCGGACTGCTGTGCAGTACACGTGACCCTTAATAGACAATCGGATATCACGGCGGCGCCATAGGTGGCATAAATTGGCAAAAGCCAATCGAGCCTTTTGTATGTATGCAGAGATTTCATCGGTCACTGAGCCAGCCACCAGGGTAGGGCTGATTTTACTTCTTAGGTAAGTGAAGTGGTCGAAACACTCAACCACTTCACTCTCTACTGTTAGCTGCGGCACCCTTAAAGACCAGTCCTGGAGCAACAATTTGCACTTGGGTGGTGAGAACCGCATCCCAAACATTCTCAAATTGCTACTTGAAGTGTTCAGAAGACTCTGAATCTTGTCAGCGTCTTCAGTTAACAGGACTACGTCATCTGCATAACTTGATACGTTCACTACTTAGTGTCTGATGTTCAACACATTAAAGAATAGTATCATAATAATACTCTATGATTGATTGATGGGTTAGAACTTAATCTTGAAGTATGTTGTTAGTTTCTTGTGAGTAGATTGTTATTCATTTTATTTTGAATAAAAATTGTCCCCTCTTCGAGTATCTTAGTAGCTTACAAGGAGTTTCAGCCACAAAAGGTGTGTTAATTGTACCAATCAATTTATACTTATAGGATAATTTAGGCTATACACATACTAGATGATTGAATTATATGTTTTATCCCGAAATATTTGAACACATCTAAATTATGTTTTATAATGCATCATACTGATTAACGTAAAGTATCTTCTCATTGATTTATTTGTTTACTTCTATAGATATTAGTCTGGATTTCTTGAGAGATGGCAGACAACTCATATAGTCGACATTGGGAAGGTGTTAATGATCCGGTACATCCCTTATCACGTACAGCACATTCAGCAATATCTCATGGACGTTACATTTATGTCTTGAATGGATATGGTCCTTCTGATAATAAAGTAATTATGCCTTTTATTGATTTACAATAACTTATTGTTGGTTCACTGATAAGAGGCAGTGTTGGTGTTTGCTTTTGATTTTATGGAGCGACTAAACGGAAAATTACTAACCCAAATTGCGTGTTTCATGAAGGCCGTCATCAAAACACCTGCACCAGCGCCAAAAAACTCATTCTTCTTATAGTGTACCAGTTTTATCAGGCTTGTCAGTCATATCATAAACAATAGCTCAATGGTACTTTGTAACTTCAATACCAAATATTGAGTGATCTAACAATGATTTCCTCAAAATTTTAGACACACCTCGATAGGGATCAGTATATGACAAATGTTGCTCCCAGTTTTTCCCTCCTTGGTCTGTTTATATATATATATATATATATATATATATATATATATATATATATATATATATATAAATCAGCTGAATTGGAATTCACTTCACGTGACGCTAACTTGCCTGTCTGTAAACTTTATTATAGCTTTCACGTGGATAATATGTTTATTCTCTTTCTTTGTATAGAAATGCTAATAATCTAGTAAATAATACTTTTTCATTGTATGATGTATCTGATAAATCAGCTAATATAAAATTAAACTAACACATTTTTCTGAAAAACTCCACGTTGGTTTGTTGGTTGAATAACTTGAGAAGTCCAGATTTCTCTCAATCTACGTTTAGAAGCCTAGGGATGTGTATCGAATGTCGTTATTACGGAAGGCTATCAATGCGCTGTTTAGACATCTTGATTTTAGGTATTAGCCCAACTAAGTGTTCGGGTCCATTAGCAGGAATAATTCAGTTTAGTTTCGTTCAAATGGTTGCCTTGTAGAGAATTGATCGACTCCATGACTTAACAGTCTCCTGTGCTTGGTCTTGGATGGTGTACTGTTGGGCAGTCCAGAATTAAGATGAAGCAACTGTTCATTAATTCAAGTTTTTAATGTTTTTTTGGCTAATGCTAACCCATCATTGTAAGTAACCTTGAAATCTACCGATTTGTTAATTGATGCTTTTTGTTACTTGTTCGTACTAGATGGTCCTGTTCGATCAAATTGGCCTAACAAGATATGATATCCTAACAAACTGTGTAGAATTCTTACCGATACATTGGGATGCAAAATCACTACAGTATCATATGTTCAGTGAATCTATTTTGCTGACATCAGGTAACAGTGCAGTGATCAATGCAGAGTCTGTTAGTACAAATGATGAACCAACATGTATTTATACGTTTGGCGGTTATTCTATTCTCGGAAATATTCATGTTAATGCTTTATGTAGAATTGAATTAACACATCATAATTTATCGAAATATACAACGTCAGATCATCAAAATCAATCGGGGAAGGTCACATCAACAGGACTTCGATCACATTGTTGTCATGCTTCTGTTGTTAGTGGACATGGTATTTTGAGTTGTTTATCCTACTTACCCCAAGATAATGCTTTACATGAAAGTATTAGTTTAACTATGCTGAAATCATTTCAAAGACAGTTAGAATATCATCATCCTGCTAATATACATAATCGTTTTGATAGTATTCATGATAATGTTAGTCACAATTGCCATCATCTTTTGCCTTCACCACGTGATAAGTTGTGCATGGAATATTGGCGTGGACGGTTGTATGCATTTGGTGGTTACGGTCCAAGTTTTATGCCATATTCTACATGGCCTAAACAAATCTTTCATTGGCCATATTTACACGATCCAAATGATGAGACGAATTGGATAATATGTGATAGTAATGGTGGATGGAATAGTCAATTAATCATTTATGATATCAGCGAAAATCGTTGGGAATTAGTTACACGCTTGGATGCAATTGGCCGATTCCCAACACCACGTGCAGCACACTGTTCTTCATTACTGCCTAATCATGGTTGGATGATTATATTCGGTGGTCGAGGTCCCTACCATCAACATTCATCATTACAACAACCATCAGATTTTAGAATGGGCAGATTAAATGATATGTACTGTTTAAATTTGCATTTAATGGAATGGACACAAATTTTGACACCATTGGACATACCACAGCCTAGAAATCCTATTCAGTCTATTATATGGCCGTGTGGTCGATCATGGATGGATATGATAACTATGCATGAACCGTCATGTATGAAAGATTATTGTACTTGTAGAGAAGAAGGAGAAGAATTGAATGATGAAATTGATTTCTCTCAGATGGATGAACCTGGTACAATCCAATTGTTTATACTTGGTGGTTGGTCAAACAATGATGAAGCATTGAATGATGCATTTTTAGTGAATATCAACCCATGTAGAAAGCATAAGCTTTTAGAAGCTAAAGTTGTTTCTTCTACAAAGGAAATACATACCAGTACTAATAATACAATGCTGAGTACTACTGAAAATCATTCAGGTTTTGAAACAAATTTAAACAAATGGCAGTATTCTAGTATTCAACCGTTATGTGATACGCTAAGAAAACCAACTGTATTAAATGGTTTCATGTGTTCGAATCAACAATCTAAGTGTGACACATATTCTAATTTGATTGTAAATTCAGATGGTAAAGTTTTAACAAATGAAACATTCTATATGGATATAATCACATCTCTTTATCTTTCAACTGTTACAGATCCTACTACTGAAACAACAAAAACTCATCGTATGGATAATGCTAGTAGCAGTAATAATGACAATAATAATCCTCTTGATTGGGATACCGATGATATGAAATTATTTCTCAGGGATTTAAACTATCATTTATGTATTTATAAAAAATTGTCTTTCAATGTAGATAGCAAGAAATTGAAGAAATCAGTCGGTCCCGAGCAAGCACTTTATCGTATCGCTTTATTGCATACCATGTTTACACAATATCTGGTGAAAAGTTATTGTCGTTTTGCGATAAACAAGAACTCTTCTCCTACTGCTACTACTACCACTAATAATAATAATAATAATGCCGATGGTACCAGTAGCAGGCTGATTGAAGAATTGGATAATCTTTGTGCAAGTTATCGGTTGATCCTTGAACCAAATCAAACATTAATTATATCTTTATTGATGGGTATTTTTTTAAAGTTTATGCTTCCTTGGCAACTATTCCAAATGCTTTTACAAGAACAGGATAGTTGGTTGACAAGTGTGGACAGTAAGGAATTAATTCGAAACTTATTACCAGATTTAAATATACATGAATTTTCTCTACGGAAATCATCTTTATCGAGGTCGTCTATATATCAGTTAGATTTTAATGATCAATCAATTATTGACAAATTCATGCTGTTACTTTCACCGGGTCGAATACATATGCCCATAAATCATTTACATATTCATCAACAGTATATAGGAAATAGTTTCGAACGTTTTTCGTATAATTTGCAACAAATAGTTACATCAGCATTTATATGGTGTGCCAAGTTACCGTTACATTATGATATTGTCAATGGTTTAACTAAACTATCAGATAATGACTCACTGCAAATAATTTCGTCATTATCATCAGATTCGTTATCATCAACAAGAAGTCAACCTGTTCATCGTCATTGGCACACTATCACTCTTGGTTTGGATAGACGTATCTACGCAATTGGTGGTACTACACGGGAAGCACTTGAAACACCAATAGAATGTTATGATTTTCATCGACCAATGAGTTTATCAGTTCAAAGTTTCACAAAAGTGTCTAAAATAATACTGTCAACATTTTTAAATGCAATTCAACACAATATTTCAATAACTGACGATCATAATAATACAAAGAGAATTCAACCACTTCAACTTCATCATTATCCTGTCATCACTATTGGAAAGTGTAATCATAAAACTGAAAATACTTTAGCGCCTTTTCCTTGTCATTTAATAAAGGATAATTTTATAATAAATTATTTGAATAATTTAGATGAAAGTTTAAAAGAATTATTAAATAGTCATGTGAAATATTTGTTAGAAGAATGGTTATTATGAGTAGCAAGAAAGTAGTAAATAAATGGTTCTCTTCACTTCACTTAATGAATTCTGTCCATTTAAGAGTTAATGTAGTGTGGAAATGAAGAGAAAGACAAAGAAGGATATATAGTTGGAAGAGAAATAAATTTTAATGTTCTTTTATATGTACATATTTATATGTGTATAATAATTCTAGTTTAACCGCTTAACTATCATATATATTGTTTAATTTCTTCAATTAACTGATCTTTCTTGTTTTAAATTAATAATATTTTCTGAAATTAATTTATTCATTGACTTTCTCTATGTTCGCTTTTCTCAAGACAGGTGAACAGGATGGCTTATCTGTGCATATTTTATGAATTCTTAGAAGTGAAATATTCAATAACCTCTTCTGTGATTAGTACAAAGACTTATTTATGTGTTAGATATAAAAATATTTATCTACCTACAAACAGTCAGCTAGTCTTGATATCTTAATACAGTTTAACTTTATCCTGTGTTATTTCACAACTATGTTGAAATTTGTTGAATAAAATACTTGGTTGAACAGTTTAGTCATAGTTTGCATTGGATTTATTCTATTCTTTGTCAATATTTCAGAAGACAATGTGTAATCTTTATCAAGAAGAAAGCTTACAAACTGTACAACATACTGCAATTTCACTATAGACAGACAGATGAAGTGATTTAGCACGTAACACAAAACTGCATCAGTTCTATATAAGTGTAAAAACTTAGGCACTATGGTAGGATGTAATTCCGTATTAGATTTGTTTATTTGATATACACGACAAAATGACACAGTGTTACTTACTTGATGTGACGATGTTGCGAACATAAATTATTGCTCGTAATCATACCATTGTAATCCCACCGCTTTCGACAATCGATTTTTAGTCCTATCACCTGATATTCTTTGTTTTTATTGGTAGTAAATTTCTTCATATCTGTGGTATAGATGTTGCGTCATTCCTATTACATTTGTTGGGTGTTGATTCGGTGAACAAGGATTCAGTAATAAATCTCTCAAGATGAATGAAATACAAAATTTATGAATGAGGCAGTTGTTATAATAAAGATTCACTTGGCTATAAAACGGGGATGAAACAATCTGCGTCTACCTGTGTTCTTAATTGCAGGATATAGCAGCGATATGTGTATGATACACTAACTGTTGAAATCGACAGCTTCCTCACTCATATAAACTCAGTGATAGGCGCAATCTAGTTCACTTACGAGGTAGAAAATGAACAAGGAGAATTACCTGTGATGGATTGCAGGATTAAATGAAGGACAGATGGTTTGGATACTACCCTCTATAGGAAACCAACACATTTTAACAGCTACCTAGAATTCAAGTCATCTCATCCAATGTCAATTAAGACGGGTTCAGTCAAATGTCCAAATAGCAGAGCTAAAAACTTACTATTCAGTGCAAGGACTTACGTAAGGAATTGAAACACATGAAAGAAGCGTTAATAACTAATAATTATCCTCTACCGTTATCAAGAAATTGATATGAACGCATAAGAAACAAAATAATAACAGTAATACGACTACGAATAATAGCGACAACATGAGTAGAAATAAGTTCAATGCCTGTATTGTGTTACCATACGAGGAAGCAACACCAGAAACTTACGTAGGATTCTCAGCAAAGCTGGAATTAGCGTGGCATTTAAGCCTAGAAAGTCACTCAGGGATAAGCTTTGTCAGTTTGAGGATCCGACAGGTCAAACTGAACAAAACAATCTAATCTACCAAATTTCATGCGATTACTATGAGGTCAAGTACATGGGTCAAACTACCGATCAGGGTCAGTTACATTAGCGGAACATAGGAATTTAACTAAATATAGGATGACGGATCCCAATAATGTAGAAAAAACCCGGCTATTACAATGCATAGGTTAACACACAATGGAGAGGGATAAAATTACTGTACCTAAGTCCAAAATAATTGGCTGGAGAGAGAGACATTTATTACTGAATCCTTGTTCACCGAATCAACACCCAACAGATGTAATGGGAATGACGCAAAATCTATACCACAGATATGAAGAAATTTACTACCAATAAAAACAAAGAATATCAGAAGGAAGTGGAGATGGATTGGGCATACACTGAGAAGGCCGATTGGGGATATCACGCGTCAGGCCCTCGAGTGAAGCCCAGATGGGAAACGACGAGTTGGGCGTCCGAGGTGAGGGTGACACGGAGGAGATCGTGCGAGTAAGAAATGAGAGCTTCTGGGCTGTCGTGGAACCAGGTTCAAAAGTTTGCAGAGAGCAGAGTGCACTGGAGACGTGCTACTGAGGCCCTGTGTTCCACTAGGAACCCAAGGGACAAATACTAAATAATAATCAGGACTTTAAAAACCGATTGTCAAAAGTGGTGGGACTACAATAGTATGATTACGAGCAATAATTTATGCTCTCAACACCGTCATGAAGTAAGTAACACTGTATCACTTTGTCTTGTATATCAAGCAAACAAATATAATATGGAATTGGAGCTGTTCAAGTTGCCGCACTTCACAGCAGTATGCATAAAGGAAGCGATTACCAAAAAGTAGCGTTGAAGTAGACAGTGTATAAGAGGATAAGTTATAGATAATTGAAGGTGAAGTGAAAATGCTTGGAATTTCGAAGAAAGTGAAGCCTCTGAACACCTGCGCCACTGTGACTAACTTTCAGCCTTATCACCCAAAGTCTGCAGCAATTAATTGCTATTATCGTTGAGACCTGAAACAGGGAACCTGTGTGTTTTTGCACACTTCAGACCAACAGTCAGAAACTTCATGGATTAGCTTCATGTCTTCGTCTGGTCACGTTTGGCCTTCTAAGCCAATCCTACTTCAGCTGGCATCGCAAGTCAAGCTAGATAGTGGCTTGTTGTGTACAACTCACGTCCTAGTCACCTCATACGCTAAAGTTTCACAACCTCATAAACAAACTTACATCTGCCCAAAACTCTTCTCCCAACCTGTACATTACTCACATAATAATTCCATCGCATACGAGCAGTGCTACAAGGATGCATGTATCCGAAAACCTGTAATTTCTTCATGTCTTCCGCAGTCTCACTAGAGCAGAGCGGACTGGAGCGCAGTACACTGGTTTGATGTGTAGTGTGTCTCATCAGGGTCAGAAATGGTGTTATTTGGCAGTATACCAAACGCGCCATTTGTATCCTAACTGATATTTCGTTAGCAACCAACTCATTCGTGCTGGTGCTATTCCCCAAGTAGTGAGATGGTCAACGCATTTCAGCGCCTCATTTTCTATCCTTAAACTAGCAGTCGATATGGTCAGATCTTGAAACATCAGATTCTATTCGTCAGGTGCAAAATGCTTACCAAACAATAAAATTTCTGCTCAAAGGTGTTGAGATGGATCGGGGTTATGCTGGTTAGCATATCTATAACGAAGTTAAATAAGAATAGTGACAGTGAACATTGTTTGCAGACATCACTGGATATCATTATTTCAGATAATAACCTTCCAGAAACCCTCACAAGGTTTGTGAGTTCGAATACATAGCATGGATTACCACAATATGCCTACTTCATACTTTCTTTCTGCAGTCAGACACCTGGAATATCTGTTGATGGCCGAAGTTAAATGTCTCCTAGAAGGCAAGAGATAAGGAGTGTTGGGTGAATTTATGTGCATTTCATAGCTTACTGAAAGGTGAAGATCTGAATCATTCACCCTCATACACTTCTGAAAGGCGTTCAGTTCTATGGTATGGAGTTTGTTTTCCTTAAGCTCCGGTTACATATTGTAAAACTACTAACCCTAGAATCTGGGACACGGTGTTAGTCAGACTGATGTCCCTGTGATTGCCAAAGGGAACCTTCTTGCATTTCTTAGAATTGTCTTTTTGGTGGGACTACATCTGATTTCTATACAATACTTATTACCTACGTGACTAGTAAGTAATTTTCTGCTTACATCCTTCCAAAATTTGGGACGTAAACCATCACATCCTGCTGCTTTTCATCGTTTCAGTTTTAGAGCAGTTTTCTCAACTTTGAGATCTTGGGAGCTGATGTCCACAGTCCGTTCAGGCTTGGGCTAGATGCTAGTTAACTAAGGTTGAAAAATTCTTCAAAGTGTTCCACCCAGCGTTCTAGCCACCTATTCTAGAAGGTTATTAAGAAGCGATAGCTTTTGTTGGTGGCCCCGCTAACCGTCGTCTTCTTGTCACTACCCTTAATAATAGTCCCAAATAATCGGTGAGTGTCAACTAGGGTTGATGCCTTTTTTTATCTCTTTCGCTTTCGCCGCCCTCCGTTTCTCACAGTTATTGAGACTACTCTTAGTCAACTTACATTAAAGTTGTTTTCGCTTTTTATTGTGTCCAAAGCCAGATTGAATGAGTCTTATTATACCAAGGCGTTTGGATGATATTACAGAAATCCACGGACTTAAACTACCTATGATTGTATGTTAACAGTTGCCTTCACCGCTCTTTATATCAGACTGAATATTGCGCGGGACTTCATTCGGATGACAATTGCTATCGTGCTTAGATAAATGCCTAGTTACCCCCTTTCTAAAAACACACTTTATGTTCTCATCTTACATTTGAGCAGATAACGGCTTCATTACTGTATTTCCTTCAGACTATTAAGGCGTAAACATGCTAACGCGTGATCTGAGTCCAAGCAGGCACCTATCGTATTTAATGATGTCTTACATTAACATGATTTATATGTGGTTTTTGCCGATCAGGAACAAGTGACTGTGAAGGCAAATTTGTAGAAGACCAACTTTATCGGTTTTGTAAATCATTACCGTCAAATTAAAATCCGTAAATTCACTTTGAATTTAGAGACAATAAACGAGTGGCACAAATATGAAGGCAACAAATTTCATTTATGCATTACGAATTTTCATTTTGTGTTTAAGTATAATCACAACTATTTGAAGTTCAATATCGGGAGCGGGCTAACATTTTGTATACCAGCCAGTCGACCAGGCTGTTAACAAACTGAAAATGTTTTACTAAAAGTTGCAATTAATGGGAAGATCAAACGAAATAACACCTGAAACAATTAAACAAAGTGATAATGATGACATAAGAGTACAAAGATTAATCTGACCAAAAAAGGGGGGAGTTGAAAAAACGAAAAATGAACGAAGCACTATGACCAAAATAAGTTAAAACCAAGGTATAGACAAAGACTGTACATACCTCTTATGGATACAAAGATCAGGCTTCAAATCATGGATGTCCAAGGCTGCTGTTTTAAAAAGCTGAAGACGGAGGAAACATGAGGTGTTTGTGCGAATTCGATAGACAACCTTAAAATCAATGTTTGGGTCGGTTAAATGTTCAAGGATAGAACTTCTGATGCATTTCCTTTCACCATAACCAGTCCGGAATTTGTTCTCGTATATGGGATGATAGTAATTTCTGACCACAGCCTATGTATCTTGCTCCACAGGAGCAGGTAAACTGGTAGATACACATGGATTTGGCCTGTCGAGGGCTATTGTCTTTTACACAAACGGAGATCAGTTCACGACTGGTAAAGATCAAGTGAAATTTGGCTGAGAAGAAAGTCCTACTAATTGATCTGGAAAGACGATTTTTCAGGCGATCTGATGCTGCATCACCGTTAAATTCCAGATTCATGAACAAGGTCCTTTTAGAAACTGAGTTGATGGCTGGTTTCACATGTCTCTCTCTCGCATATCGTTATTGATAAATCGGCTAGGATAGACATTTTTTGCGAGCGTCCCTCTTAGAAAGTCAGGTTCAAGTTGCACACAGTCCGTGATAAGAATATTACGTATTCGATATCAGAGTGAATGAGGTTTCTCTTCTTCATGGTCGGCACCCAGTCATAGAAATTAGTAAATTGTCCATTCCACGTGGGTTTCCTGTAGATGGATCTTTTCAGCATTCCATTGCTTCTTCTCATAATCAGCATGTCAAGGAAAGGAATAGCTGATTCCAATTCCTCCTCAATAGTGAATTCCATCAACGAGTGACAGTTGTTAAACTCGCGTAGGATGTCACCCAGATCGATAGCTGAGTCGCAAACAACGAATATATCGTTTATGGATGTCAAAATAATTAATATTTTGG